CCTTCCTTCCTTCCTTCCTTCCTTCCTTCCTTCCTTCCTTCCTTCCTTCCCTCCCTCCCTGCCTGCCTCCCTGCCTGCCTTCCCCCCTTCCTCCCTCCCTCCCTTCCCCCCTTCCTTCTGTCTTTCTCTCATTTTTCTTTCTCTTTCTATTTCTCCCTTTCTCTTTCTTTCTAACTCACTCTCTCACTCTCTTTTCTTTTAAATAGCACATATCTGGACTACAAGTTGTAACCCCAAAATCTATTTAGTCTGTGATGGACATTTTGTCATATCAACTGTCAGTTTCCAGAAGGTTCACTAAAAAATGCATGTAGAATTGTATCTTATGTTCCTGAATTTAAAGCTATTTTCTGTCATCTTGCTATTCTCATTATTTCCATAAATTGGAGAAATCCTCTCCAGAAATTTTGTGTGGAATTAAAAAAAAAGAAGCTATCAGATTAAATACTGATATCAGAAGGAAGTAATTTTCTACATCGCCTTGAGGACTGTTTGTTGGCAGAATAGAAAGGGGAGATTCCTGATTTTCTACAGAAACCTGTTGCTATGCTTGGAAGGTCCCAAGAAATCAGACTGGAAATTTGGGTTGCTTCCAATCACATCACCGCACAGGTATTTTTAGTGACTTTTTTAATTCTTCAAAATCCCCCCTGAAGCATAAATATTCTACAGAAGACTTACAGGTAGACATACAGGAGAGGATTTCCATTTTCAGAAAATGTGTTTGAAACAGCTGTCCAGGAGAAACATAAAATTGCTACTGTAATTTATGAATAATCTCAAAACTCATGTCAATAAAAGATTTATATGCAATGCTACGTCATCTTTATTTGCCTGAGTGTCCCCCTTTACTCTTACCAAAAGAAGTGAAATCAAGATTAATCAGTAAATTACTTTGGCCTCAACAGAGTTTCTCATTAATTCATGGTTTCTCATTTCCCACATCCCCATCACTGCTTAAAACTTCCCTTTTTACAGACAGTTCACTGTTTACATGATAAACATACTCCCCACATTACCCTTCTGGACTTGTATTGCTCAAGTGTGAGAGCTTCAGTGCATCCCACTTCCTTACCAGCCTTCTGAAACCGCTTTGATGACAGTGCTTGTTGACCACAACAGGCAGTGAGTACTAATATTGCAGTACAGCAAATTTTCCCAATCAATGAAGCATAACATTCAGTTTCTCCAGCTGTTCCCATTCCTGGAAACCTGCTGGAAAAAGCCACCATGGAGGTAAAATAGGCTGTCTGGGAGCAGAAGGCTCACTCACATCTTAAAAGGAGTGATGGAATGGGATGGGGCTCTTGCCCTGAGACTGGGCTGTGGCAACTCCTTTTGTTGTGCTGCTCGGATAAAAAACCAAGCAAGCAACCAACACTTCAAAGTGTGTGCAGTATCTGGAAACTCACCAAAGGGGAGGCAATTCCTCTGGAGGGTTAGCTGGGACAATTGACTCCCTGCAAGGGCTGGCATGGAGGGTGTGTCTGCAAGGAAAGTCTTCATAGCCAAAGTTTCCCCTTGCTCCAGTCACTTCACAAAATGCTGTCTCACATCCGGCAATCAAAGCCCTTCCCCAAGCTGCAGCCTGCACCTACAGCACAGCAGTGAACCCAGATGACCCACTGCTCCCACTGTCACAGAGAAGTCCATCACCATGGGGTTAAGTGGGTATTTCTGTCTTTTTTTCTTTCTGTCTTAACTGTGCACGACAGTTCAGGAAGCAGCCTCAGAAATTGGACCTTTAGCCTCACTGACACCAGATAGAATACTTTAATGACTGCTATGGAAAAATATACTTCACCAAGCCAGTTTTACTCAGAGGAGCAGCTAGAGCTGAACCTTACTGAGATACTTATTAGTTAGTGCCAGTAACATCACCATCCCATCAGTTTTGCCTAACTAACAAAACTCGCCACTTCTGTTACAGATCTCTTAGTAGTATCCTTTCAGAATTGCTCCTGCAAAACAATAGACAAGGCCCAGGAGAAAAACTCTAAAATTTAATATTAACTTACGTTACACTCATCATTTTACATCAGTATCAGATTTAAGCTGTCTACAAAACCAGAGGCTTTTATACCGCATTCAAAATTTACCAAGTTTAATTTGTGTGTGCCTCACAATTAAAACAGTTAGAGCCAGGATCCAGTCTCAGATCCAGGGAAACCATCTGTCACAACCTGGCTCAGTCCCATCGTGTAAGGTCACCAGTCTGCTGTGAGTGGGCTCCATCCATGGTATCCCACTTACTTCCAACCCCAACATTCAAGTCAAATAGTCTCTCCTTGTGCTTCTCATGATCCAGGGTCACCTCTGACCTCTTTCCAGGGTGGTGAACCTCAATAGACATCCATCCCTTCCACATTGAGTGGGTCTCACGCACGGCCCTGGGGCTTCAGGGGCACTTCCATACCTCCAGTTTAACAACATGATGGAACAAGGAGCAACATTTGAGCAGAAGAATGTCTAATCACAAATGTGGGTACTCTTAAAAGGAATTGAAAAGCTCAACCCTTCTGAAACAGGATGGAATCCTCACTTAGTCACCCCTCCTCTGAACACAAGGGCTGGGCTGAGCAGGTGAGCCCATTCTCTTTTCCACACACTCAGGCACGAGTGATGACTGCTCAGCCTCTCCCCTTTGCAGCATCCCAGTCAGGACCTCCTGGCTGCTTTCTTTCTGCCTTTCTTAGTAAAAAGCCACATCCCACGAGAAAGGCCAGTAGCTAAAGGATACTAGGTAGCTTCCCGTACTCAGCATATGGAGTCCTCATTTAGCATCATGATGGCTTCTCCTAGCTAGTGCCTGGAAAGGTTGCTGAGCACATTTCTGAGGAAGAGCCAACCCAGCAAGTTGCCTTGATGATGTCTACATATGTGTCCATGAAAATACAAAATAGGGCCACACTCCCTGCCCCAAATACACACTGAGCACCTAAGGAGAAGGCTCACTGCTGGGGCAGGGCTGTGTGCTGTGATATGACTAAGCAGGAACATCAGTGCAGATAAAGATTCTCACAACCACAGTGTTGATTAGAGATTGGTGCTGTGAGGCCCTAGCACCCAAAAGAAGATAGGAGTGATTTCTCTGTTGTCAGAGTTAAGAGTCAGATCGCCCTCAGAGCACTTGCACCTTGCAAGAGCAGGATGCTCAGGCTGCTTTGACACCACCTGAATTATTTATTTCTGAAACCTCATTGCAGTTAACTGTCTGAAAGTGATCTAGACAAACCAACAAAACAACAGCAAACAAAGGGCCAACAACGTAACCATCAAAAGACGAGAAAGAGTGATTTCCGATGAGAAATTTAAGTGCAGGTGGCTCACCCAATCACAGTAGAATACATTCTTTAAAAGAATATATTCTCAAACAGCTGTTTGTCTTTTGAGTTGTGTTGAATTTAAACATACCTCTGTGATGTGATGTCTATATGATGTTGAAATGTATGTGTTATCAATATTACAAAAGACAACTGTATTTTAAAGTGTATTTTTTTACCACAGCAAGCAAAAAATTCATAGCCCATAAGTGTAATCACCTATGCCATAATTATGGGTGCATAAGGTTGTGTATGGGCACGTATATTTCCATTATTAAATATGAAAAATGCAAATACCAAATATGAAAAGAAACATTTAGGAGAGGTCAAGGAATAGTGAAGGAAATCAAACCCTTCTCAAAGTTAAGAGAAGGAGTATTTATCAATGCACCCTAAATCTGAAGTTAAAAAGATGGAAGATGCAAACTTACCTAGAGAATAATACATATTTTGGGGGGCGTCTGTACCTACGGAGAAGCAAATGGAGATACAAAATAGATTAAAAACAATTAAGGATTTTAGGTGCCTCCACTTTGACTGCCAAATTTTATTCACTGTAATTGCACCTCACTTCTGAAGGTGAGTTGCTTAGCCATATAAATCAGCCCTTTTCAGTGCTGAAGTTCAGCACTCCGAGCACACGCTAGAAGAAACAGATGTGTGAATTATCTAATTTCCATTGATGTAAATGGGAGCTAAATGTCTAAAGAAGGAGTGAACTGCCTCTTTGCTACAGCCTCGTGCCTTAATGGATTCTGCAGAGACTTTAAACTTGTGCCAAAGATTTACAGCTAACAGAATTATTCAAACAAAAATCTCCAACGACTGATGAATAAATAAAAGCCTCTATTGTCGTTCAGGATGATACTTCCCTTTCTCAGTGGTATAATCCTTTTATACTTTCCAAAGGTAGCTTAAGATATAGGATATTTCTCTTGTCTGCAACCTGGGGCAGAGCTGTGTGTGCAGCATCATCTTCTCATTTAGGCAGAGTCTGGGATTACACTGACAGGCACAGCATGGTGGAAGGAAGGGGCTGAGAAAAAAAAAGTCCATGAGGATCCTTGCTTGGTCTAGACAGGATTTGCTTTCAGGGCCAGAATGAAGCTCAGATAAAAAATGAGACTATTCTTCATCAGCCCACCATGGATTTGAATATATTTCTACTTGGGATTTTTCCTCTCTCCTGTCAGTCCAGAGGGTCATTTGGACCTCTTTCTTCGTGCTTAGCAATACCAATCTTATTCACTGCTTTTGAGAATGTGAGAAAAAAAATCCTATGGGTTTTGAAGGCTGAAATGAAGCAGAAACCTTTTGCTGCTGGCTGAAATGCAAGTACATAGAGATGGCCCAAAGCCCAGGCCATGACTTTTTTTTTTTTTTTAATTTTTTTTTTTAATTTGGGACCTTGCATTTTGGGAAACCTAGACAGCCCTACAGCTCATTAGTTTGGTAATCCCTCTGCATCAACAACAGAAGCAGAGGGAGATGTGACTCATTTCCCAGTCACGACTACCTCTGGCAGCTGAAGACAAATCAGTGCCCAGTCTCTGGGACAGTGAGTGGGTTATCTGTAAGCTCTGCATGCTCAGCCACACCAAGCTGTTCATGAAGGTGATACCAATTCTGCGTGTGCAACAGCCATGGCCTCTTCCCTCAAGACTTTCCATCAGAAAACAGGGTGGAGAAAGTACCCAGTTCAAATTTACGAGGGAGATAGTTTCCTCTCAGCTGTAGGGAAAGAAAGGTCAGGAAAATCCTTACATACATAAACAGCTATTGCATTTGAATTTCCTTTTTTTCTTTTTCTCTTTTTTTTTTCTTTTTGCTCCAGGCAGAAGCATGTTTCTTATTCATATGAAAACATCCTGTTCACATTTAAGATTTTCTGCGGTTAGATGCAGTTCATTTTTATCTGTTCTCAAAGCAATCAGGACAGGGACAATTTCTGATGAGTGATCAATGGTGAAAATAAAATAAATGAGGAGAGAATGGGAATGGGGTTGCTGGGCACAGTGTGGTTGATGTTACGATCTATTTTTGAAATGGTATAGGATATGGAGGTTGCACTAGCACTTCTGAGAAAATCAGCTAGCTAACCTGGTATCTGCAGGACATCTGTAGGGCAAATATATCCACGAGTCCTTTTTTGATTAGTAGTCACTGCTGCACAGTGTAAGAGCTCTGTGTCATGAAATAATCTGGGTAACCTTATGTTCTAGTTGTTAGGCATGACGTGCCTGGTGCCTTTCCCTGGATGTATCACACAGATTTTTAATTGGGAATATATCAAACCAGTAATACTTTTCTCTTACAGAAGATATTTCCACATCTGCTTTGCAAGTGATCTTCAACATCGAGCTGAGCAAAACATCCTGAATCCAAAATCTACAGTTCAGGTTTCTTACTCATATTTAGATTCACGGAAAGTTTGAAAACAGCTCTGTGGAAATACTGACTGCCTACAAATCCTACCTGAGGTAATGGAAGCAGCAAGGTGTGCATAATGCTTTGTTTCTGCTCCTGTAACGATAAGTTTTTGTTCTTCAGCTGGGAGAGGCTTGGTCTGCGTTGTGAAGTGTTGCCACAAGAAGAGCGCTGCAAGAGCCACGCTGCACTGACTTTTTGTTTTTGTACCCATAAATCAACCGTAGACCATAAAACACAACCTGTAATAACAATCACCAATATTTAATACGTTTCTGACTAGTTTGAAAACCTGTTCAAATACTTTGTACCACCCACAAAAACATTTGTAATAAATTGCAAGGCAATAAAAATCTCGTAACACGTAATTACTGGCATTATTGTATACTTTACTTTTTTTTTTTTTTTTGAGTAGGAGGAGCTGGGCAGAGAGGAAAAGGCTGCGTTTGAAAAAAAAAAAAGAAAAGAAAAGGGAACTTTTCAGTTGTATTTCATGAGATAATCTCTTATGCTATTTTTTAAATAACATATTTTAAGCAGTACTAAATATGGAGAAGGATTTTTTTCAAACAGATCACAAGTTCTGTTTCTGAATGAGTCACTTCTGATCAGTAGGCTTCTCCTTAACAGGGGATTTACAGCAGAGGGACCAAAACCTATTTCCATTGAAACCAGGCAAGCTCCCACTGACTTCAGCAGAGGATTGACCCGACGTGCACAATACAGCCAGGGGTGGAAAAACTTAGAGAAGCGTTGTTTTGTTTTATTTTAATAAATCTGCAAGGACTCTCCCAGTTCAATTTCCACAGCTTTCGGCACATTTTATCCTTCCTGTAGTTTGCACACAGGATTGAGGCACAAATGTGTAAACGACTTGCGCACGTACAAATACAAAATCAATGTTTATGTTTACACTGCTGCAAGCTTCTGCCCTCTTACCTGTGGCTTGTGATGAATTTAGCCAGGAGCTGGTTTTACCAAGGGTTTGAGATACTGGTGGCTGAAGGGATATTCTGTTTGTGATTCAAAAGAAGCCATTTCTACCAAGCAAGGAAGAAAAACGAAAATCTGTGTAACAATAATAAAAACAAAACAAAATCCCCAAATAGACACCAACAAATAACTGAAACCAAGCAACAAACTAACAACAACAAAAACCAGAACACTGGTTTTCAGGTGAAAACACAAGATTTTGTGCTTAAAATAAGGACTCAGCTGATTGTTGCACAACATTTCATTGTTTCAGCACTTCAGATTTTATTTTTATTTTTTGGACATCTAGTTTATGGGAAAAAAATATGTGTGATTTGCTAATTAACAAAATTGATTCTGAAGCATCAATTTTTTTTTTCTTTTTTTTCTTTCCCTTTTTGTTTTTTAGAGTATCTAGCAAGCCTAATTCCAGTACAAAGTCACGGGAACCTAGGAATTTACCTGTGGGAAAGAGAGATATTCAGATTCTTCTGAATATGTTAAATGTGAGATTTTAGACATTTGGGCATTTATACAGAATTACTTATTCAGATTTGAAAATATACCAGCTAGAAGCTTTATCCATGACCCTTTCCCAGATTCCCTGGTTCACGTGGATTCAACCACTGGTTGAACCCTGCCATGAATGTCTTTGTCCATGGCAGATATTCCAGGCTGTCAATGGCTCTCAGAAAGGCTCCCACTTGTTAGAGAGATTAACAGGCAGCTCCTTTGAAGGGAGGCACCTTCAAATCTGTTTTCACTCCCCTAAAACCAGCTCTCGCTCACCGAGGAAGTGGGTTAAAAAGATCTCAGCATATGGAACTCTGCAGTTTCCTTCCTCCTTCTTCACTCCATCTAGCATATTTTCATCCTTAAACCAATGTTTTGAAAAACGCACTTTTTTTTTTTTTTAAAGCAACTTGTGCAATTAGAAAAACATTATTTAAATACCGCTGAAATGCTTTTCTTGTCTCTCATTTAAAGCCCTGCAGGTGAAAATGTAAGAAAAACAATTTGGGGCATTTCCACACGCAGTCACAAGACCAAGACAAATTGCGGACTGAGGAACGGCCTCTGCCAACTGCAGCAGCTGAGTTAGAAAGTTACATTCTTCCACTGAGTACTTTTCCCATTGTTAACATGCGTACCACGGCATCCGGAGATGATATGCATGCTCTGCACACAGACAGTCACAGGATTAAGCAGGGCCACTCACAGCATACATTATCCTCAGCCTTAATTGCACAAACCTTCCAATGCTTTGGTCACACCAGAATCTCTTCTAGTTTGCAAGGATTACAAGGAGCAGAAGATGGTATGCAAGGAGATTAAAAAGAAATATTGGCCTTGGCATCAGGGTTATATTCATCTAATAACACACACAGGACATTATTTGTGGATCATGTTGGGCTCACCAATGAGCAAGCAGTGTGGCTGAAGAGCCAAGGAAAAACTGCTGAATGGTATTAATAAAAACATGGAACAAAATTTTTAACAGACTGAGACAGAGGAAGCAAACTGGAATTTAGTGTACACTTGAGATGCAAGATTAATGCTCCCAGAGCAAAAACACTGAGTTCAAATGTCTAAGCCAGTAAAAGCATATTTAGACACCTAGACAAAAATGGCCTGATCTGCTGTGTTGCTGAGCACCTGCACTTTCCAATGAGTTCAGTGGGTTTTACAGGCTAACTTTAGGAACACAGGTTTGAAATTTGTGAGTGTGAAATGGAATAACAAACGGGGAGTGCAAAAGCTGTGCGAGCAGATGCACTAGTCTTTGCCACAGTAGTGTCCTGCAGATGTTAGAGAGACGAAAGCAATTTTCCACGATAGATGATATGTTCAATATATACACAATTAAAGTAATGGGAAACAAAACGAAAAAGAGGGTCGTGCTCATCTGCTCTTTTGAAGATGTTTTTTCCATAGAAAGAAGCAGCTGAATGCAACTGTCGTTTAGTTACATCAAAACAACATAACATGTGTGAGCAAGGGAATTCTGGCACGTTAATTGGCAGTGTAGTTGGTAATGTGCTGTGTGCTGGACACTGATGCCTCTTTCTCTCTCTCTCTCTCTCTCTCTTTTTTTCTCTCTCTTTCTCTCTTTTTCCCTTCTTAATAAGAAAAGTAAACTCAAGAGAAGGCTTCCAGAAAACAAATAGGCATTGTTGCCCAGATGGTAGATATGTGGGATGTACACAGCAGATTTCGTTCCACCAGCTATGGGAAGACGAACAAGTCACTGCAGGGTAAGCCAGTATGCTGGATTTACAGCACACAAGCTGCTCTGTAGTAATAAGCCTTATGCACCCTGCAGGACACTACAGTAAATGCAAAATACTTCACTTCTCAAAGGATGTGGATGCTTAAAAGACACTCTATCTCCATGTGCCTAACCCACGCTGAAATCCATGAGAATCTGGCACACGAGTGCTTTTGTAAACATCATTAGCTGTCCACCTGCAACTTTATGTACCTAAAAACCTTTGAAAAACCTGACCCCGTGACACTGGCAGGTAATGAACCATTTTCATACTCATTTCATGGGATGCACACAGAGCATGTAGGCCATTAGGAGAACTATTAAGTTGCTCACCACCAGCAGAGGTATGGGTCCTTATGGCCCCTGCTGCTGGGAGAGGCAAGCAGCTGCCAAGTGGGCGGACAGGGTCAGCGTCCTATTGCACTTGGCAGCACAGACCTTCCACATCCACCTGTGACCCGTTTCTCTGCCAAAATGCGAGCTCTGCTCTTTTCCTGGTCCAGTTACATCTCCCAGAGGTCAGGTGGATGGGTAATATAGTAGAATGGAATTCCCCCGAGTTCAGCTCTAAAACCAGTACGCTTCAATTGTACCTTAAAAGGCTTGAGTTTTGAAGATGAGCAGCTCCTGCTGAGGTCAGAGGACTGCAGGGCAGTCTGACAGAACGTCTGAGATACGAAGAGCAGCAATTCGGTGAGTCGTGCAAATTCAGCCCTCTTCCTTTCATGGTAAGACCGCAGCTGAGGGAGCTAGAGCCCCTGGCTGCTGAGCCAGCTCTTTGCAAATGTGTCCTCTGGCTCTTTTGCCACCGGTGCTGCCTATGAGCTTCCTGCTCTTTGAACAGTGGAGCATTTCTTAAGAAATTATGGACATGTATTCTCACAGGAGGTGACCGACACGTGGTATTTTCAGGCAGCTGTTAAGAAAAGTCTCATAAACTCTACTGCAAGATTTGGGACTGACAAATCAGGAGAGCAGTGTGATGGCACTAGAGAATTCAGAAGTTTGAAATCAGCTTATTCCTTCTTTCAAATATATTTTGCCCTGATATTGTGCCTCATCCAGCTCTGACCCCATACTTTTAGTTTAACACGGTGTGATATTAATATTAATATAATAATGTAATATGAAGATACTAAAATTGTCAATGTTGCATAAATTAAAGATTTTGTAGGTCTTAAAGCATCTAGAGCTTATCATTTCCACTGGAAACCATTGGAAACCGTGGGAGATGTCAGCCTGATATGTATCTGCTTCTTAATTTGTATCTTTCACAGCATTATTAAGTGAATTGGTATCGATCTCCTATGCATGTAAGCTCCATTGTACATAGTTCCAGACCAACTCTAGAAACGAAATACATGTAAACAAGGAAAAATAAAATACAGTGACTAAGAAGCTACTAAGCACAATGAAATCATGGATTTAGCATGGAGTCTAGAGAGTAGAAGCTTTCACTTCTGCTGTAAAAATACGACTTAGGTCTGTACAGCTCCAAGAGCACCAAGAAAAAATGCTGAAAGCTGTGCTCAAGAAACAGTAGTATTGCACAGGTTATTTAGACCTGAGTCCTACTGCTAAATGCACCTGTGGTAATGATACGCTTCATTTCAGTTGATGGGATGAGAAATATGAGTACAAGAAGATAGTAGCTTGTTAAGGGCCTTACAGACTTTCTCGTTATCAGGGGAATTTTCTCCCTGAGCAGTTTGGCACTGATAAGGAAAAAGGGCCTCCTGTCTCCCATCTCTTAAGCCTGCACTTTAGCCACACATCCTTTCCCTCCCTATCTTTGTGAAAGCTGGAAGACCGCAACGTCTGGCAAAATATTTAGTGATAATAATACTAAAACATTTCTTACTGACTGAGGGAACTACAGAAGTAATACATAGTGTGTGTAGGCCTCTGTCCAGGAATAATAAACTATAGGTTTCAGTCTTATGTTGAGAAAGAGCTCAGATAGCAGTGAAACAAATACATTTATCCTTATAAGACTGAAAGATAGCTGCACTGGGCCAAACATTAAGTGATAATTACCAGGGATAAGCAAACCCTGTGGAGCTGGCGGTTTTGTAAGCAGCTCGGTCTCTTAATATGTTTCAGAGTTAGAGTTTTGTAAAATCCCAGGCATTGAAAAAAAGATGGAGAGAGTAAAAAGACTCCTAACTCTCCTGTTATGTTCCTGCTCCACCACTTCTGTTGGAAAAATGGTCATGGTGATGTTGGTCACAGGACAAGGGGAATGAAAACACTCCTGTTCCTCCCATACCTCTGAACCTCAGCCACCTTACAGGACAGTGTGGCAAGAACGCTGCCTGTCCCACATCTGAACAGCGCCGAGGGAAAGCTCTTCCTCCAGCTAAGCAGGGAGAATTGCTGGTAGATGCCAAGGTTTTTAAGCCTCTTGCTTTTTATTGCACACATAGTGGTAGCTGGTGCTTCCTTCTCAAGGACCTGGCTGCTGCAACTGGCATATCGTGTATAAATCTTCCATTTCTTTTAGGAAAAAGAAATAAAAGATAAAGAAGATAAAACAAAATCCAGCTGCCAAGGCTTCTGAAAGAAGCTGTCCTGAGTCGTGACTTGTCAGATCAAGAGGTTTGCATTGCTGCTTGCACCACAAATCTGCAAGACACTATGATGCTACCTAGGGTAGTATGGTTAGCTTGTGGTTGGACTCCATGACCTTTAAGGTGTTTTTTCCAACCTGAGCAATTCCATGATTCTTTGATTCTAGAACATCAGCCCCTGAGATGCCTCTCAGCTTTCTGAACGCCCAGCAGGGAAAGTGA